AGGGCCACGTCCAGTGGAGATCTGAGTGACTGCAAGGACAGAGATCCCACAGCCTCACCGGGCCCCTCTTCCAGTGTTTGACCACCTTTTTGCTTAGCTCAGTCTGGAATTCCTTATGTTGCAAATTTTGTCTTATCCTGCCCTTGTTCAGCTCTAAGAGTCTGGCTCCGCTCTGTCCTCTATATCCTTCCATTGGGCAGCTGCAGACAGCAAGACCTTTGCCTTCTCTTCTACAAGGTGAGAAGGTGAAGCTCTCTCTGCCTTACCTTGTACGTCGCGTGCTCCAGACCCCTGACACTCCCCATGCCCTTACGACAAGCCTTTGCTGCCATATCAGGTATAAGATCACTTGCAAGGTTATCCTGTTGGCAAAACCACTCTTGTCCCATTTGAGCAGGTGGATCCCATTCCTCTCACCAGTCCTTGTTGCTCAAAGAAGGCCCCATGGTTCCAGAAGCCAAAGCACTCCCCGTGACACCAGCAACACAGTCAAGCATTCCTTCCTCCTGTTCCTTTCTCCTTCCCCAGCAGGATGAAGAACACTAAAAGGAGTGAGATAAACAGCTGTTTGCTCTTGATAAATGCAATATTACACATCAAGCCACTGCGAGAAATTAAAAGGTTTATTTATTACTATCTCTGTAGTATTGTTTAAAAACTCAAAAGGTCCGATAGGGTACCAACAGCTAATAACACACCTTAATTAGTTGCAATTACAAAAAGACAAGTTCCCAGGCAAAATATGAGCTGGGATCACCCTGGTCACTAAGAGGACACTCAAGTATTTGATAAAAGTAAGACTCATATCTAGTTTGGTAGCTCAACTATAGGCATTATCACCCGTATGTTCTTACAGAGAGGAGAGGATGTATTAATGTAAGTGAAGCCTGTAGCAGTCTCTATGGTTACAGCTAACATTTTCTAATATAAGCCATTGTCTTCAGATGCTTAACTTTCCATGTTTCAACTGTTTAGGCTGAAATTTTCCATCACGGCTCATTGTTTCCAGGTGAATTCTCTAGCAATCAGGTTAGCAAATGTACAGAGGAATTCGAGCGGATTCTCATGCTGAAACAGCGATTGGAAATCTGGCAGGGACTCCATTCTATCATCTATTAGCATCCTCTCAAATTTACCCCTTGGCCTGGTGACTTTAAAAGGCTCAGCAGATCCTGCTAGAGGGTTTGTGCTGGAATTTTCAAAGGTAATATCTCCAGCGAATTAATCGGTCTCAGCTGGCCACTGCCAAATGCTGCCAGACCCACTTACCTGTGCACGACCCCAGAGTCCTGCAGAACGTGCGGGCGCATCAGCTCTGCCCTCACCTGACAGATTGTACCTAGCGGTTGAGAAAACAGAAGACAGCCCAAATTTTGTATCTGCCGCTCTTCAACTGAGCACGTTATAAATAACTGGCTGCACCCCACAGGTATTCTGTCAGTTTTCGTACATAGTCCCAGTGGCAGAGATCTGTGCAGTGGATCCAAACACCCCGAGTCACAACAGTCCTTCTGCAGGACACCAGTTTCTGGGAAAATGACTTTCTAATAACAGGCCCCAACACCATGCCGTGAGAAGCATTTCAAAACCTGGGCTGAACACATTTCCTTTGAACAGTCTTGTCCAAGCCTGTCCATCTCCCACCAGCCCATACACTGTAAGGTAATGTGTGCTATCACCACATGTATGCCAGTTTCTACTCATCTAAACCGTGGCACAGGGATGGAAAATGGATCCTGTGTCCTGTGGTTTGGGTCACAGGAGCCAAGAGGCTCTAGTTATACCCAAAGAGGTCCTTTAGCCAAGCTGGGATCTTAGGAAGCAGCTCGTTCTTTCTGCAATATCTTCACCACCCTGTCATTCTTCACATCTTCATTCACCACTTTTTCTATTTTTCAGAGTTTGGGTGGTGGTTTGCTAAATTTAAACTTTCTGAATACCCAGTTACTCCGAGATATTCCTGCCTTCCTAACTAATTTTTACCAACTTTACCCCTTGAAAGTATTTACCAAATAAGTGACCAGCTGCTGCTCTTGTGCGTTGCAGGTGTCCTGTGGTTGTCGGTAGTGTCCGAGGTGTTATACATCATGCTGTTAGTCGTCGGATTCAGCCTTATGTGCCTCGAGCTCTTTCATTCAAGCAGTGTGATAGATGGGCTCAAGTTAAATGCCTTTGCTGCTGTCTTCACTGTGCTTTCAGGTATGA